TGCGTGGACATGTAAGGCTTATAAATCTCTATCGTCCCAGGTAACTCAGAAACTAGGGGATAAACTGCAGGGTCAAGTTCCAGGACAGCAAACTTGCTGCTTATTTCTATATACAAATAGGGAATGAAATAAAGGGGGAACAAATGAAGAATATGGGCTTTGATGTTTGAGATGCATGGATTCATGCCCCAGGTCAACTGTGTACTTCTTGATAAATTGTAGATAATAATGCTGTCCTCACAGGAGCAGTGTGAATATTAACTGTTAATAGAGCATGTTAAGTGCATAGTGCTCTGCTGCAATGTGCAGGATTCTCGGTGTAGGACACATCAGTGGACAAGACACAGACACTTCCTTAGAGAAGTTTATAATGGAACATAGATGGCAGACAAATTATACTGGCTGGGATGAAGCCTTTTCCATTTGAATCATGGTACATTAACTGAGCAACTGGAAGACAAAGCCAATTGAAATGAATGCCTTTCAAGGGCATAAGAGAGCTTCAGGGAAGAAGAAAATGGCTCTGTCTCTTCATGGGCTGGCTAAGGGTGGGCAGAGGCATAAAAAGATGACTGAGAGCTTAGCAATTTAGCCATGGCTTCCTTGTCTCACTGCCCCACCGTACAGCTCTAGGGCTTTCTCCCTGGATCCAAATGCTGCTGCTCATCATAAACACCTGTGCCTGAAATTCAGTGCGGCCTTCTGAAGGGCTGTTTGTCTGAAAATTAGCTTGATTCACATCTGAATTACCAATGATTACCAATGATTAGTTGATTACATCTTGACGTAAGCTTCAATTGCTATAAAGTGCTATATGTCACCCTAAAATATATTCTACTGGAAGCAAATTCTATCTACTTCTTGTTGCTGCATTGGAGCTGAACTCAGCTTGTCTTAGTACATATTGTGGACGGCTTTGGGGAACATGAATGTATTCTTCTCCTGTGATGTTTAGTCTACCCATTAGATTAAGGAGTGCAAAGAGCAATTTCCCCTCTCCAAGATAAGAGCAGGAGTCTTTCAGGGGTGGCAATTTCTGTGGTAAAAATGCTGTTTCTTCTCTGGCAGTAACAAAAAGGAGGATAGAACTGAATCAGGGGCATTCTCCTAAAGCTTTCTTTAACTTAGCAAATACGTATGCATGTCTTAGAAAATAAGCAGCCTTAAGCAAGATCTGAGAGGCGAGAAAAGATCTAGAATAATATGGATTTGCTGGGGGCGGGGGGAAGGGAAGTATTCTAAATAAAGCAGCAGAAAGCTTCCCCAGTACCACAGAAAGCTCCAGAAAGGGCTTCTCAGAAGAGGCTAAATCATGGCAGTTTATGTGAAGGAAAATAAACCCATATCTGTTATTCTCCTCACTGTATGCTGTGTAAGTGCCCAATATGAGTCTATTACTGTTAGGAGCTTTCATGTTTGTCCTTTAATTTTATCTGCACAATGAGCCTGAAAGGCATTTGTTTTTATTCTCATTACAGATTAGGCTACCGAGGCTAAGAGAAGGCAGCCTGGGAAAATTACTACTACAAAATAACATTCCAGAAACAGTGGAGTAAAAATCTCTTAGTAATATGAGAAAGCTTGTATTCTACACTCTTAATTGTTTCTGGAATGCTATTTTGCCTTCACTTTGCAATGACCTGGAGCAGTTTTCTGGTGGTTTTACTCTAAAACTCCTACCAATGTCCCTACCCTAGCAGCAGGGACCTCTGAAGACCTTCCCACTCCAGACCAGGAGTTCCCAAAGATGAGTGTGCCTTAGAGTCACCTGGAGGGCTTGATAAACACATATTAATAGGCCTCACTCCCAATTTACCATGTCTGGGTGTGGCAAGAAAATTTACATTATTTTTATTGAGATAGACTTTACATACTAAAAAGTTTAACCATTTTAAGTGTACGATTCAGTAATTTTTAAAAATTTTACCTATTTGTACAACCATCAATGCAGCCTACTTTTGTAACATTTCCATCACACCAGGAAGATCCTTTGTACCTAGGAAGTCACTCCCAGTTCCCACTCCTAGTACCCAGAAACCATTAATTTACTTTCTGTGTCTATAGATTTGCCTATTCTGGAATTACACAACATATGGTCCTTTGCATTGACCTTCTTTTTACTTAGCATAGTATTTTTGAGGTCTGTTCATGTCGTAGTATATATCAGTATTTCACTCCATTTTATTGCTGAATGATATTTCATTTATTGTGTAGACCACAATTTTGTGTATCTATTTACTGAGAATTTGTATTTCTGACAAGTTTCCAGTTGATGCTGAAGCTGCTATTCTGGTGATTACATTTTGGGAACACTTTGTAGTCTAGGCCAACAGTTCTCACCTTTGGCTATGTGTTGGAATTTCCAGAAGAGATTTTACAAAATACCGTACCTGGGCCTCATCCACAGTTTGATTTAAATGGTCTGAGACAGGGCTCAGGGATGGACGTTTTATCGAATTCCACAGGTGATTGAAATTTACAGCTGAGGTTGAGAACTGTGTCTCTGTACTCTTGTTACACAATGTGTGCTCTATGGACCAGCAGCAGCAGTGCTTAGCCTGGGAGCTTGTTGTAATCTCTGAATCTCAGACCCATCCCCAAACTTCCTGAATCAGGTTCAGTATTTTAACTGAATCTGGTTGATTAATCCTCAGTTGATTCTCAGATGCATGTGGATTTGAGAAGGGCTGTCCCACAGCACTGTATAATGCCAGGGAGAAGAAAACGGGAACAAAAGGAAAATTTCACTTTCAGACTGAACTGTAATGATAACCAAAGAAAGGGCTGCTGATGGACAGGTGGTTCCTTTCATTTGAACTGCCGAGATTAGCTCTTGCATTGATTAAATCATGGGATAATTTCTGACCTTCTTCTTGGTCCCTGTGGCTATAGATGAATGTAGTGAAGGAAGCTGGATTAAACGGCCTGCTCTAAATAAATCTCACTCCCTTTCCAGGGAGTATGGATGAGACATACTAATGAGTTTCAACTGTGCTCATCCTAATGTGAACATGCTGGGATTCTTCTAACAATTGCTTGAATTGCTAAAGCTGTTTGGATTCCATGGGACCTCAACATCTTGATCAGATTAATTAATTCAGTTGAGTGTGACCATTTTTTGGTGGGGTGAACCTCCTTAGATCTCAGCACGAATAGGTAGGTATAAGGGAATAGAAATCAAGCCATAGAGTATGTCTGGAGGAACTTGGTGTACTAAGGAGTACAGAAGCTCAAAGAGGCACTTAACGCTCAGAGTGATGATGATGATAATGGAAGTCCCGGAAAGACAGACCCAAACCCACATTTGGAGGGAAGAGTATAATCAGGGAAGCCTCCCTGGAGAAGGTGATTATTGGGATAATGTTGAAAAATCCATACTAATTTACCAGGCTAGGGGGATGGGATGTGAAAGTACCAGGGAAAACTAAGCAGGCAGAGGGAATAAGTAGGACAAAGGCCCATAAACATTAAAATACTTGATATCTTGATGCTTTTTTAGATCCAGGGTTTGTAAACAAAAATTGCTTTGCCTATAGAAGCTCAAATTATAATCTTTTGTGAAAGGTCAGGAGAGGGATATATGATTAGTTTTGAGCATGAAGCCAGAAGTACTTTCAATACAGACAGAGACCCCAAACTCAGCTATGTTTTTAACAAAGAAATGACTGCACTTCTTGAGCTTGTGGGTCCTGGCACATGAAGATAAAGTTTAGGGCCTTTCTCCATCTTTTCACCCAGGGTGGGAAATCTGACAGCTTCTCTCTGGAGCCTTGTGACATGGGGGTACCCAAGAACTTGCTGGGCAGTAAGCTGACAATCAGACATGTGGAAAGTCCATCTCTTCAGGACACAAACAGACCCAACAGGCCAAAGGAGACTAGGAAAGGAACTTAGGTCTTGACCTTTGTGAAATCAGAGATGTAGATAGAAATGTGGGTTCAAATTAGAGCCTAGAAACTCACCAACTGTATGAAAAGAGTGTGAGTAAAATGTCAAACACAAAGTCAAATTTGATATAGATGATCGATCAATGCCAATTACCTTCCCTGCCATAATCTGGGAATCAAACCCAGATTCCAATTATCACTTACACTATTTACCTCCCTTTTATTGCCACTTATATTTACAGTCTTTATCTGTACAGCCAGAGCCACTCCTTCTGACTGTAGATCCATGAGACAGACAACTAAAGAATTTCAATTTCCCATCTCTGCCTCCCTCCCTCTGTCTTCCTCCTTTCCTTTATCCTTCCTCCTTCCCTCTCTCAGTTTCTTCCTTCTTTTCTTCGTCTCTCCCTCCCTCCTTCCTTCCTTCCTCCTCCTTTTAGTCTTTCTTCTTTCCTGATTTATTTCTTCCCTTCTTTCTCCTTCCCTCTATTCCAAATTAAATGAACCCTGCTGCAACTGCCTGAATACTAAGGGCTTAAACACATTCAGAACAAGTGGAAGAAATTAACATTCAAGGGATTATCTCATTTCAATCCTTGAAATAACTCCATAAATTAGATAATAATATCCTATCCACATTTTACACTTTTAGAAATATTGAGGCAAGTAATCTTGCGCAAGACGGCTCAGCCAGTCAGTGATGGAGCTGGTGTGTCTAACATTTATTTACCCTGGATTCCGCTGCCTTACAATGGGACTGTTGCTTGTGCCAGTGGCTGAGGAACATACATTCCCGGTTGCCCCATAGCAATGGCATTGGGGTCACCACCTTCAGAAATAGACTATGATGATCTGGGAGCAGTCCTGGGATTGTGAATGTTGCTGTGAACATGATGGATATGAATCACCCCAGCTTATAAGGTCTGTGACCACAGGCCCAGGGAGCTGAGAGGGTTCTCTGAGAGGGGGGCTCACCTGATGTTTCCATGTGTCTCAGTTAAAATCTGTACTGTATTATGAGATCACACAGGACTGAGATCCACAGAAGGGCACATGAATCACAGCTGCAGAACAATTCCATTTTGTTGGATACCAGTAGGCAAATTAGCTTGAAAAAAAATTATGCTTACGAAAAGGTTGGATGAGTCCATTCTGGACGGCCTGCAGTGTAGCAGGATATTTCTTGTCCTTAATTACTCTGTCCTCTGGTAGGAACAGAAAATACAGTTAATCCATTACATTCTGTCCTCAGAGCAGAAACTCCCCTTGATTATTTCAACTTTTAAAATACTCATTGTGTTTGAATGAATGTGATTGTTTGTTGTTTTTAATTTGTAAATTAATGTAATTAACAAAGAAATCCTAACTGAAGTGTGGGATTACATTTATTTGGCACCTACTCCATTAATGTCTAGCATGTAAAAAGCATTGTTAGTCGTATGCACACTGTTAATTATCTCAACATGTTTAATTGCTGTTTTCTTAAATAACTAGTAGGCCATATGTAAATGATCTTTCATGCATTAACATTTCATTTTGTGAAAAAGTAAAACACAAAGTAGGTTGCATGAAACATTAAACCAAACATGATCTCTGGGCCATTTGAGGAGTGTTAGGAAAATGGGAATCTGAGATAATGGGTCCCCCTTACCATGCCAACCTCATACCTCAGTGGCCCAGAGGGGCAAACATAGCTACACTTGGAAATATTCTAGAAATGTCAAAAGAACAGCAGATCTGCAGTGTAAATTGTGAAACATATGTTAGAATTCTATTTTTTCTGCGACTGTAAACTTTATAATTTTTTATCAAGCTAGGAAACAAAAGTAATAATATCTAGCATTTAGGGAACATTTGCTATATTCCAAGCACTGTGCAACGGCTGGATGGTTGTCTTTTTTCTTTTCATTCTATAGTGGTCCTATTGTGTAGAAAATATGATTATCATCTCCATTTGTAAATTCAGGGACAATGTAGGTAGCTTGCCCAAGACCACATTCCTAGTGTGGTGGCCATTAGGGATGCTGGTCTAGTATTTCGTATTTCCTCCTTCCAGGTGGGATTGACCAGCAGCCTCTTTTAGTGGACTTTCTTTACAAAACCCAATGACTCTACCTGTCTGTTTGCTAAGAATGTGAACTTCTCATCTCATAGGGAATGCAAGACTCACTCTCCAGCAAACCTAGAAAACTTAGATATCCTTGCTTCTCATCTAATGAGACAGATATATTCTTCTGTCCAGAAGGGAGGTTTGATGGGGGAAAACACTTCTGATTTTTTTCCTCTGTAAGTGGGGAGGCATAACGGTGAATGCAGAGGGAGGGGGAAGAGGTGTATGTTTCTGTGTGTGTGTGTAGAGAAAAAAAAAGTGAGGATGTGTGAGAAAGAAAGACACAGAGAGAGAGATGCATAGAAGACATGAGAAGAGGCCTGTATTAATACATGCCTAGATATGGGTGAGAGATGCTTTCCTTTTTCTTCAGTAGTCCTGGGGAAGAGTCCGGAAGTCACTCAGTGCAACAAATGTTGATATTTACAGCAGCAATATTCAAGCAAATATTTCCACCCTGAAAAGATCACCTCATTGAGTGGTTACCAATGAGTCTAGGTGGGGCAGAAACTTTGAACCAAGGGAGGGACAGAGTAATATTCTGTGAGAATATTAGAGATGGGAAACTTCTCCATTCTGCTAGAAGGACCTAGCACCATAGTAACTTTAGTAGGTTGGAAACAGGTAAAGTGGCATGCATAGTGATGAAAGCTCCAGCAGAGAGCAGATACATGATGGTGTCGAGGCAGAAGGAAAAAGGTCTGTGCCTGTGTGTGTGTTTGTGTGTACGTGTGTGTGTGTGTGTGGTAATACAATGGAAGGAGCCATGAATTAAGAATATAATACTTTGCTATAAACATCGGACCACTAAACGTGGTCTAATCATTTAAAATTTTATATCAACTTAGAAATTTGTTCAACCTGAAAGGGCTGAAAAACATAGAAATTGAGGGAGTGAAACATAAGGTCGGGGCATACGGATAAGTGGGGTGTGATTTATTGGGGCCAATGCACATGGCAAATCAAGGTGAGAAAATGATTTAGCCATGGGCAGCACACGCCACTGCCAAAGACATGGTTCAGCACACAAGTTCCCCGAAATGTCACGAATGACAGTAGTTGTACATTCTTGAAGGGAAAAGACTACACCAATTCAGTTCCTGGAGATTTCCTTTTTTCTTTTCTAGTTTCCCCTAATTATTGACATATTTGGTCACATTTCCGTTATTTTCTTGAGATACACACAAATCATTGGTTGTTCATGGGTTCAAATGCATATCTCCAGAGAAGAAAGAAGGACAGAGAATATACTTGAGTCTGAAGGACCTCATTCTCTCTAGAGAGATTACACTCATAAGTCCAATGTAAATCGACTTGCATGACATGCAAATACAGGCTTCATGAGTCCAGGAAAGACTCCAGCAGGTTCTAGGCTCTAGTCCTGCCCTGTTTGAAATAATGAAGAGTATTGTTTGTGAATAGTTTGTTCTTCTCAAAATTCCAGGTGTGACATGGATTCCATGCCACTGGGCAACTGTTCAACTGTCCTGAAGAAATGGTGTAGTATCACAAGTATCACAGGCGCTGCTGGGTCACTGAGTGCTTGTTTTGCATTGGGTGAGACTGTTTCAAAGCCATGATGTTTCACAAGTCTCTGATTCTTTTTTTTTTTTTTTTGAGATGGAGTCTCGCTCTGTCGCCCAGGCTGGAGTGCAGTGGCGCGATCTCAGCTCATAGCAGGCTCACAGCAAGCTCCGCCTCCCGGGTTCACGCCATTCTCCTGCCTCAGCCTCCCGAGTGGCTGGGACTACAGGCGCCCGCCACCCTGCCCGGCTAATTTTTTGTATTTTTGGTAAAGACGGGGTTTCACCGTGGTCTCTATCTCCTGACCTCGTGATCCGCCCGCCTTGGCCTCCCAAAGTGCTGGGATTACAGGCGTGAGCCACTGTGCCCACAAGTCTCTGATTCTATATGTGCCATTTACTTTGCTTTGGAGTGAAATTACTTCCTTATGCTTAGCACCACCATTGCCTGATTCCTGTCTGCCTGAAATGATTATCTCCATCTTCAACTTGCAGGTGAAGAAACTGAGCCATAGGGCCATGGCACTGTTAGGTGCTCTGGAAAGCAGTGGCTAAGATGGAGTTAGAAATAGAAACGCTTATTGTGGAGTAATTCCTGGGGTGCGGTGGTGCATACTTGTAGTCCCAGCACTTTGGGAGGCTGGGACTGGGGGTTTGCTTGGGGCTGGGGGTTTGCTTGATCCCGGGAGTTTGAGAACAGCCTGGGCAACATTGGGAGACCCTATCTCTACAAAATATATAAAAATTTAGCTGGTTGTGATAGTGCACACCTGTAGTCCCAGCTACTTGGGAGGCTGAGAAGAAGGATCTCTTGAGCCTGGGAGGTCAAGGCTGCAGTGAGCCATGATCATGCCACTGTACTCCAGCCTGGGTGACAGAACATCAGGGGCCATCAGACCACCGTGCAGACTTGACAAGGTCTCTGCACAGTCCAAGAAGAAACAAAGCAAAGACTGCCCACTAGAGGAGTCCCCCTTTTGAAGGAAATGCCTGGACTCTTGTTTCACTACCATGCTTAGTCATTGGAAAGGCTGCCCTAAGAGCAGCATGACTTCAGCTTATAAGGGTGGACGAACCCTATGCCTAATAGCTAGAGGCCGTCAGCTATCTGCACTCTTCTCAACTGAGCAGCAAGTCCGTTCTTGAAAGGGAACTTGAGTGACCTATCTCTATGTCTGCCACAGGTGGTAAACTTTTCCACTGTCATGAATAGTAGCAAGTGCAGGAACAGGATTTGAACCCAGGTGGTATGATTCCAGCTCCAGCGTTCTTATCCACTGCTTACTGCAGTTGTGTCTAGCATGGAGTTGCCAGAGAGAAATTACAGGTACATCCACCTCCTTTTTCTACAGAGCTCTCTGTGGCCCACCCACTTCCTGAACAGGACTTACTACTGTCTGGGTGACCAGGACCGCTCTGCTGGTGTCTGCTGCTGTAAAGCCCTGGTGTGGCGCTGTCACCACTTACCCTTGTACCAGCACAGGATGGGCCCTGTGCTCCCTCTAAAAGTAGCCTGTTTGCTGGCAGCTCTCCTCCCTTCCCTTCTGGGTCCTGATAGCCCCGTTTTTCAGTCTAGATTTTTCCAGGTAAAAAACAGGATAAACAACTTTATCCTAGTTTTTATGAATATCCCAACCCATAGCCCTTCTGTCTTCACTTTGCCCTATGATAGAAGCAATCTTGTTGGGGTTGCTGATCTGCTTGTTCATCCTACCTCCTCTTTCAATAAATTCAAGGGATATTGTCTATAGGACTGGTCTGAGGAAAACACCTGTGCCTAGAGCATCACATCAAATGTCAACCCTTCTAGGGGCCCCGGGGCCCCACACATTCCCTGTTGGGGTGGAAGGTTTACATCAGAGTCTTACCAACCATGAGTTTTAACTCCATAGTGACAGGGGCCATGGCCTTTCCCCAAAATGCCTATTAAACCCTTTCACAAATAGAATCCTCAGTGGCTCAACATATCAGAGTCTTACATAGTTCAACATATCAGAGTCTCTTCTTGGATAGACGTACAGAATAGCAATTGCCCTGCAACCATGGCTACATTATAAATGAGCTTTCCAAAGGGGCATCAAACAGAGGAAGAGGGATGGAGAGAAATTTTGAGGAGATTTGCTTTGTCCCCTACCTTGATTGCATATTGAATCTTTCCTGGGTGAGGATGAGATTCTACTCAGCTGTTCTCCTAAGGAGTCAGCTGTCAGTGTATTAATGTGATCCTTGTTGCAGCCCCAAGTGAATAATGATAACCTGGCAGACACGCAATTATGCACTGACAATTTTAGAGCTGTCTCTGCCAGCCCCATCCTCCCCAGCAACTCACAGCTTTCAAGCCTCAGCCCCACATGATTTCTAAATCAATCATAGCCCAGGCAGGGGACAGCCAGCCCACAGGTTTGTGAATCTTGCTTCTGTAAGGTCAGTGTGGACATGATGAGGTTGAACCTTGGATAGTCTGTCCCTTTCCCCAAATGGCCCCAAGGTATCACTGAGGCTGTTTGCAACATGATACTGTTTTTCCCAAATGTTTTGACATTGAGGCTACATCTGCAGCAATAACCCAATGGAAAATGTAGCTAAAGAGATGATAACATGCCACCTGGGAAATGAAACAGCATCAAAAATCTAATTTCCATGAACAAATTTCCGCAGCTCTCATTGATGGGACAATCATACTCACCTAAATCTTTAACTGAGCATTTACAAACTATGATTCCATTAGATTTTAAACCAGACTATTCTTGCAAATTTGTTTTTATAGAAAAACTAATAAGAACAACCTAATATTGTGTCTAGTGTGAGAATTTTTTTAAAAGATAATTTTAAGCTACAGAACTAACATAAACTATACCTCTATTTTTCCTGGTGAATATTATGAAACAAAAAGATTTTAATACCCTGGTAGACATTAGGATAAAACCCAAACTTAATATTTGGGTTGCGTGCCAATTTAAATTTAATCCTCTAGTTATATTTAATTATTCCGTTCCTTTTATTCAGGGGTGTTGTCTCCATGTTTTCTGTGAAGGACACTCTCTCAGCCTAATGCCTCCTCAGTGACCTCTAACTTTGATCTCTGAACTGGGTCCTCCCAGGACCCAGAGGGAAGATCAATCACTCAGGATGTTCCAGGCCACCAGGTCAAGTGGCAGAAGTTCATCCTCTGGGATTCTTTGTCTTCAGGACCTCTGTAACATCGATTGTCAGCTTGACAAGCCAGCCAAGTCTTTGTGTACAATCCATAGACAGAACTGGGAAGAGCAAACCATGAGAGGCCAGCACTAAACCCTCAGGGTAGCTAAAGAGGAAGCATGGTAATACGTCATTCTGCAACAGAAAAAACAAATAATCTGCTCTGCATGTATCCAGCATCATGTGAACATGAACCAGATGAGTAACATCTGGGCCTCTGTTTGCCCATCTGTAAAAGGGCTGGTTGCCCCTTCTTGCAATGGACAAGGCTGCATCCGCAGAGTTCTAGTCTTGTGTCTTGTGTCCTTGCCACATCCTCCTCTGGGAGCACACAGCAAAAGCTCAGTTATTGTTAGCCCCCTTCTCTCAACCTCCCCAGTCATTGCACACTCATAGAGAAAGGACAATCCGATCTTTATGTGACCATGATAAAATTTGATGAGAGATCAGCAAAACATAAAGGAAGGTTCTTAAATGACATATTTATCCCAACATTGTTCTGGGAAGAAAAGTATCCATTGTAAAAACTAAACATGTCCAATTAAATGATAAATGCAGGAAGGTCACAGTGGAACATAGGTACTATGCCAAAGATTCTCAGAATATCACAGCCCTGTCAGGCCACTTCAGAAAAGGGGATTCCCAGTATGAGTTCACAATACTTTGACATCTGAAGAGGTCAGTTAGCCTGAGGCAAAGGAACCGCAATGTCCCAGCCTAAATGTTCTGCTTCTCACTCTCACAGGAAGAAGGAAAACTGGAAAATGGGAATCAGCAGATGCAGAGAGTGGAGATTTTCCTAAGTATTCTGGGGATACTAGTAGGAGTTAGAGGAGAGACAGTGTATGTTTTGTAGCCAAATAGAAGTTTGGGACACGCTGGATTAAGAACTTTGCTAGACTTTTGGTATATGACATATCATTTATTCCTTATCCCAACACTTCAAATTTTAGGTCAACATATCTCTCTTTCTCTGTAGTGGGAGATGAATTCAATGACTTACTCAAGGTCACACAGTTAGTTATGTCAGAACTTTTATTTTATCTCAAGTCAATTTTATTCCCATACTGGCAGTTTTCTGTATGACTGTGTTCATTACACAAGAAAGGAGGAGGAAGTTCTTTGGAAGGATATTTTGAGATTTAAAAATAAAGCTTTCCAGTAAAGACTATGGTCATCAGAATAAAACCTGCACATTTATGGGCAGTATGCAGTTGATGATGTTCCCCACCTTCAAGTCTATGCAAGATCAACATCCTAAGGACAGGCATAAAACGCATTCTCTTTCACTACCTAGTACAGAGCCAGAGCATTTGATAAGAACCGTTGTCTTTGTTGAACAGGGAGGTATCATTAGACTAAAGAAATGTCATTGGAAATTCTTTCCGATGTGTCCAGTCCCAGTCAAGGCCCTTTCCTAGCTGGGTACAAGGATTAGTCAGGTGGCAGAGATACCCCTTTCTGAAGCCAGAAGAAGCAACTCCAACAAGGTCTAGGGCCTTTGCATCTGGAAGTGGGGGACCCAGGCTGATTTTTTGAAACAGGAAAAGTTGTGTCCTGTCTTCCCTCTTCCTGGGAAACCTGCCCAACTTTCCAGCCAAGTTTCTGACTCTCACAATCTGTACTGCATCTCAAGTGTGCATCCCTAGACACAAACCTAGCTCTGCACATCTGCACTCTTAAATGTTAAAATCATACCTTGCTCCCTTAGAATTACACCCCTCACACCATCTCTACAGAAAATGGTATGTGCCAAGAAATGGACTTAAGATTTTTCATAACCATCAGTTTTCTTTTGTTGTGAGTTCGGTCTTTCTGGACTTGAAGGCCTGAAAGTTCTCACTCCTGTTTCTGGCTTTGTGTTTCTCCTTTTCCACGGTTTGTGTAGCTGTTTTGCAACCCTCTCCTGAATGCAGCTGCTTTTGGAGATTCTGAAACCACAAATAATCACTATCTTTTCTCTAGACATGATACCTCAGAACTAATACAGTTGAAAACTCTCAAAATAAATTATAATATTGAGACAGGACTTCTTTGAAAACAGTTTGTTTGAGCCATGTTCCTATAAATGTATGTCTGTATGTAATCCATGTGTCCTGAAGCCTCTGGAAGACAATAACCTGCCACTCAGGAAAGATGCCAGAATGCAGAGGATTTCTGCAAATGCTTCCCTTCAGAGAGGGGCTAAAGGCCCTAGGCTCTCAGGGATGAGAGAAGGAGGGAAGCAGGTCTTCTGGGAAGTACCATTCCTGAGAGGTGGCTTGGCTGTAGGTCACAGAGGCCCCAGGGTCCTGTCTCTGAGTGGCTAGAGGGAGCAGCTCCTTGTCTCAGCCTTTGCACAGAAGAGGGGTATAAATGATGGTAGCATTGGTTGGCAGGGGTCAAAGTCATCCTACAACTGCCTGTTATTTGAAAATTAAGTGCTATTTTCTAATATGGAGAAATTATGGGTTGATAATGTGATCCTGATGGAAACAAAATACAGTGGTTGATCCCTTCTGTCATTCAAACCCTAGTGTCAGCAGGGAATCCCCATGCTGAGGGTTAAATTATCATGGTTTGAAAGTGGAGACTTTAAAGCATAAATATCAAGTATTTGTGTTCTACTTTATGGAAATTCTTGACCATTTAGCTGTTTGGTAATTGCTGTGCACAGCTGAGTAAATATACAGTGAGTTTCAAATCATTCAATATTAAGAAAATGGAACTTTCTTTCTTTCTCTCTCTCTCTCCATATATATATATATATATATGCATATATATATGTGTGTGTGTGTATGTATGTATATGTGTGTCTTTGAGTGTGTGTGTGTGTGTGTGTGTGTGTATGTATGTAACTTTGACAATAAGATTTTCTATTCTTTTGAGCTATAACTGGAGTTCAGCTAGAATGTTGTGAAATGTCAGAACTGCCAAATATTCTATTTAATTTCAAATTCATAAATGTTGGCCAAAGTGATGTGAAAGAGGAAACCCAATCTCTCTAAGCACCAGTTTACTGCCCCCATGCCCTGGCCCTTTCTTCCCTGAGAAGGTTAGGCTTCTCTGTAAATAAATACTGCCATTTCCTTCCTTAATCCTTTCTACCAGTCATCTCCAGGGCAGGGATGTGGTTTGGCAGGGAATATCGGGGAGAGTGACCCAGGACACACTGAACCAGTTGCCTTGCCAGTCTGTGCCTCAAGACCTTTGCAGAGGCCATGCCTTCTTGTCAGAGGCATGTGAACCAGAACAACTCCTTCTTGAATAGGAGCTGGGTAAAATGAGGCTGAAACCTACTGCGCTGGATTCCCAGACAGTTAAGGCATTCTAAGACACAGGATGAGATGGGAGGTTGGCACAAGATACAGGTCATAAAGACCTTGATGATAAAACGGGTTGCAGTAAACAAGTCAGCTAAATCCTACCAAAACCAAAATGGCCACGAGAGTGACCTCTGGTCATCCTCACTACTACAATCCCATCAGCACCATGGCAGTTTACAAATGCCATGGCAACGTCGGGAAGTCACCCTATATGGTCTAAAAACAGGAGGCATGAATAATCTACCCCTTGTTTAGCATATCCTCAAGAAATAACCATAAAAATGGGCAACCAGCAGCACTTAGGGCTGCTTTGTCTATGGAGTAGCCATTCTTTTATTCTTTTACTGTCTTAATAAACTTGCTTTCACTTTGCACTGCGGATTCGCCCTGAATTCTTTCTTGTGCAAGATCCAAGAACACTCTCTTGGGATCTGGATGGGGACCCCTTTCCTGTAGCAGAAACCCTGACCCAATGGCTACCTTTGGGTAAGTGTTGAGGTCCTCTAACATCTTTCTTGCAAACCATAAAAGGGACAATACTGAGGAGACCTCCCGACCCAAAGGAAATAGAGTGCAGCACTGATTGCATGACTTTGGGTAAGCGGCGGGGTACCTGGGTAAAGAATGGGATTGAGTTAGAGACCCAACTTAGGGGGGTTAGAGTCTCTCCTAAGACAGAGTGGGTTAGAGGCCCCTCTTAATAAAAGGCAAGGACACTTGACTGACTTTGGGTTGGAGGCCCAATTTAGGACAGTTAAGAGCCCCTTCTTAGATTTAGGGGGTTAGAGGCCTCTCTCAGTAAAGTCCCGCTGGACTAAGCACAGGTTTGACACTATGGGATGTTAACTGCTATTCTCTTTGGATTCATCTGCCTTGTACTCTTTGTTGGTGACTGTGGGTGACAGGTTTAGGCATGTACAGGATGGTGGGACATGGGGAGATTTTTCCTCCCAAAAAGGGGAAACTTGAGAGCTAATAGGATTGCTGGAAAAGATCCATTTGTTACCAAGAAGCAGCCGCCTGAACTTTTCAGTGTCACTTCAATGGGAGTGTCTTTCTCTGACTTCCCTAATCATTTTGCCTTCCCTACCCTGCCACAGGCAATGCTTTTTTGTCTCTCCTTTCCCTTTCTTATCTTTTCTATTACCTCAGGGTGACCATCTTGCCCAGAGACCACGTGTCGACACTCCAAGTCAGAGGTTAGATTAAAGATGACAGGGCCCATCTGGGGGCAAATTTAAGCCTTGCCAGTTTGATATTGGGTGCTAAGCAAAGTGACTAATGTCTATGTTTTATCACATGTATTTTACTCTGGCCAGAATGAAACAACAATAACAATTTTCCTTTTTGATATGGCTTGGTCCCCAGGGCGATGGTGCTGCAAGTCAGATCACTAGGGCTACTCAGGGAAAGGGAACCCGGAAGCCAGGGATGCCAGCCAAAGTGTAACAATTTCTTACCAGTCAGATTTCTGGCTTCTCTCTCTCTCTGTGTAAACAGTTGAATGAATGGGAAAAAACCAGCAAACAAACAAACAAAAACAGTGTTTATTTCCTCTGTAAAGTTTTGATTAATGTGAAGAAGTATTCTAAGTCTATCTTAAGTTAGCTGGTGTATTTTGTGCTATTAATTTGTTTTTCTGTGTCAAGGGGTACTTTAGGAAAAAACATGGGCTTAGAACACCTGTAAGCCTGATTTTCAAGATGACCCAGCAAGCTGGTCAGCAGCAAACTTGGCTGCAGGTCCCTGAAACAAGCAAGAAAACTAGATGAACTTTCCACCTTGTTTGATGTCCTTGGGAGCTTGACCTTATAACCACGTGGCAGTACTTTTGGTCTCTGCCTTCCAGGGAACAGGAATTTTAGGGTTCATGTCATAGTTAGCTCTAAAGATCATATTAAATAGTTAAAAGCCTTTGCAAGCTCAAAATTAACTACTCTGAACTTCTTCTGGGGGAAAAAAAAACAGAGGCTGCCCTGTGATATAGCTCAGTAGCTAACATTTTGTGCTTTTGTAGTGGCAGTCTGGATTCTATTCCCCACCTAGGAAGTAAGTCATTTCTGGTTTAATATCTGCGTGACCTTGTCTATTCTTTTCTCCGTGGACTGTCTTAAATTTTCCTTTCTCTATGCACCTAGGAGGTCACCTTTGGTAAAGTTCAGAAGCTAGAAATGTTGGCTGCTTGGCATGGCTAAAGTTGGGTAATAAGAGATCTCCTAGGATTTGCTTTTTAAAGAGCACTATGGTTAGAAG